GTGATGGCAATTGAAGTACAGGGGGATAATCGATCTCAAGATAATAACCACAGTCTCATGATGACTGATTTGCAAGGGGTGAATTGATCTGAGGGTGACAAGGATAGCTTCATGAGCCCCATGGTCATTGGAGACCAGAAATTACAGCATGATTGCAAGCAGCAACAATTTTAGGAGAAAACGGTGATCGACATGCGGTGCCCCTCTGCAAGACCACTACATCAATTGGGAGAGAATTGCAAGCACAATGTCTTTCTGCAGCATGATTAAGCCAGCGTTGCAAAACAGGATGAGGTTATGTGCCATCTGCTCCCGTCAGCAGGGATGACGCGTACTGCATGTACTAAAAATGAGCCAGAGGTTGTGCTATTGCGCCGACACCAGGTGAGAGATGCTTATAGCACGGGTAGTGGGTGGGCGTGTGACTCTTCCCCCTCTGGATCTCATAGGCGGGGAAGAGTGGGGGGAGGGGTTAAGGGCGGTAGTGTGTCTCCGACTGGGCTGGCCAGAACTGAATAGGTAGTCTTGATTGGGGGGGTGCGACGGGACTGGAAGATCCCACGGACAGAGGGGATTGGTGGGTGAATAGGTGACGTGCCTCGGGCTATGTCCGCCTCGTTACCTCGCTACGAATACATTACGGCTACTATGGTCTCGTGCTTTGACGTGGGTGTGCATGCGCTAACAACACGGTTTGTTATAATCAGACAGATAAGAAAAACGATACATAAGCCACGTGGTTCTCTTTCACTAATTCAAGTAATGATAGGCATATACCACGCGCTATGCCCACCCATACTTTCGAAAACTTTCGGTCACCGATCGAGATGGGTGGGTGTGGCTTTTAAAACCAGAAACAGTAATTTTCGACCTGATGCCCGTAATTTTGAAATTTTATGATCATCTTAGCATCCTATTAGATAGGCGGGTAAAGGTTTGCATCCTAATATTTTCAACACCTTGTTCTCCTCATTTGCAACACCCTCCCTCTATGGTTAGGGATAGCTTTCAAGAGCCTTTTGTAGTTCTCCTTTACTGTATGAAGTTTTGGTAGTTGTTGCCTTAGGTCCTCCCAGTGCAGTATTCTTGCGTGCAATCGTCCCATATATAAGCAACCAGAACAACGTATTTTTCCATCCATGATCTGTTAAAATTGCCCCTGGCTCCCTGGTCCCAAAGGGACAGCTTGTAACGTCTTTTATCCAAATGTTATCGAATAGGCATTGGTTGGCTATCTCGAGCTAGGTTGTAGGTTTTTTTATCTGTTGTAGCTTGATAGATGACTAGACTCGCAATTCCCTAGTTTTGTGTCCAGCAGACATATCCACAAATTGTATCTGCTCTTGAGGCCAAATTTGGTTGTTAAGATATATTCTCCCATTATCACCCACTACTTCCCTTCGTTATCCATTAACACCTTGCAGAACCATTTGGCCAGCAAGGCATAGTTTTGGTGTTTGGCATAGTTCTGGTGTTTGGGGTTCAGTAGGCCCAACCCTCCTTGCTCCCTAGGGTGGGCCACCATTTCTCAAGCCACTTTGACTATAAATCCCTGGTTTTCTTAGGCGAGAGGCTTCCATAGATAGCGTGTTGCTACCCTTTTGATCTGTGAATAGGCCTCATCACTTAGAAGATGGATCGTCGGTGGAAACCACGGAATAGAAAACGTTGCTAATGTTAGCACTAATGCTCCGCCAAAAAAGGAAAGCTTATGGTTTCTGATCCAACCTACAACTCTCGTCGTGATCTTTTCCACCATAATTTTGTCATGTGTCAATGCAGAGTTTGATAGTGAGACCTGAATTCCTAGAAACCGCTCTAAGCTATCCATTGGGATTTGGCGGAGGCCCCAATCCACACATATTTCATACAGGGAATAGATTAAATATATTGATTTGTCCTAATTAATAGAGGCATCAGATAACAGACAATACTTATCCAAAACATATCTAAATTCCATCATGGAAGAATGGTTGTTTTCTCATACCAACGTGAGGCCATCTACAATAGTTCCTCCTGTCCAGTGAATGGAGGATGGGATGCAGAGTCCTACGATAAGATCATTGTTCCTTATGTTATATAGCAAAATTTTTAGTTGTAGCACAAATAAAAGGGGTGCTAGGGGACAACCCTATGAAGAAAACGTGTTAGTTTATAGGGTTCGGACAGTTTGTCATTTACTAGTACTACCAAGGAGTACATGCCCTTTACGCATTGCAGAAAGCAAGGGTCAAATCCCATCTTGGATAACGTATTGTGGACAAAGGTCCAAGCTACCTTATCGTAAGCTTTCTCCATGTCTCATAGGAGGACAACTATATCCTTTTTTTCGTGCCCTATGATTTCCAAGGCTTGGGCCGTGGTAGTAATGTTTTCAAAAATAGACCGTCCCTTGATGAAGGCCCCTTGTTCTTTACCTATTAAGGTGGGAAGAATCTCTGCCAGTTCGATTGCAATGACCTTGGCAAAAATTTTATACACAACATTTAAAACAGAAATAGGGTAGCAGTTAGGGACATCGGTCTTATCGCCTTTCTTGCAGAGCAATGAAATGACCCCGGTTATAAAACCTTTTGGTAGTGAGCCCAAATTATTTGAGGAATTATACACCTTGCATAGAAACGGCCTAAATGATTGTCAACACTCTCTAAATAGTTCCACAAGTAGGCCATCTCACCCCGGATATTTACCTGGTGTTATTTTCTTGACAGCACTCGTGGGCTCGTGCAGAGAAAGAAGAAATTTTAATTGGTCCCTAGCTGCTCTTGCAATATGTCTTGTGGTTCGACCCCAAAACTCAGATGAGGCCGTCAAGTCCGTCGCCGGGTGCCATTTTCCTAACAGTACTCGCGAACTCGTGCATAGAGAATGGAGTTTCTAATTGGTCCCTAGTTGCTCTTGCAATATGTCTTGTGGTTCAACCCCAAAACCCGATGAGGCCGTCAAGTTTGTCTCCAATGTGTCGAATGGTCGGCGCGATGTAACTATATCGCTGAAGTACTCCTAGGCATATTCACACACGGAGATAGTGTCCGAGGCTTTAAGAGTGTTTATAGCAAAAGGATGGAAAAACTCCCTTATCAATGGTTTGGCCTGACGGAAGAGGAGTGACCGAAACGTAATTTTGATCATGCAGTTACATCCTACCATGCCCGCATTTTCAGTCGGGGCTGCCTTTTGCTTCGCAAAGTAGTAATCTACAAACAGGTCTCCCCACATAGCGGCACGGAACAAAGAGTACGCGCTTTGTGAAGCGGTCGACGACGACCAGCATAGCATCATGACCGCGGCGGGTCGGAGGACGAAGAGGACTGATAAAGTCAATCGAGGACTGCCAATGACCCTAAGGCATAGGAAGAGGTTGGAGCAAACCATAAGGCAAGTGGTTCACACAAGTGGGACACTTTGTGACGTAGTCCTTTATTGAGTCCTTGCGCTTCGGCCAGACGTACAGGCGGCTCACACGGGCCAACGTCTTGTGGAAGCCCATATGACCGGCGGCTGCCTAGTCATGAGACTATGCTACTGCCCAGACACGTAGCTGTCCAGTGGAGGGAACGCAAATATGGGGCTCTCTGTTGCCCTATGAACCGTGCTAGTACACAAGACTGTTGTCCCCGAGAGAGTAGTTTGGTATAGTCTTGCCACTCCGAAGGGTCGCATGGATGTCACGATAGTCGGGGCAGTGGCGGTACAGAGTGTGAAACTCGTCGATCACCGAGTGGTGGACAGTGGTGACCGGTATCGTAGCAAGGTGGATCTGCTCCAGATTATGGTCAGGGCGTCGGGATAAGGCATTTGTCACCCGATTGGTCTCACTCTTGATGTGCTCAGTGGTGAAACTAAACTCAGATAGGTCACGCCACCAGTGAACCTGCCGAGGAGTGAGCTTCGACTTTGTTAGAAAAGTCTGGACAACAGAGTTGTCWGTGCGCACCGTGAATAGTGCCCCGTGCAGGCAGTGAGGCCAGTGCCGAGTGGAATAAACTACTGCAAGAACTCATGTGCTCAGTGGTGAAACTAAACTCGGATAGGTCGCGCCACCAGCAAGCCTGTCGAGGAGTGAGCTCCAGATTTGTCAGAAAAGTATGGACAAAAGAGTTATCTGTGCGCACTGTGAATGGTGCCCCGTGCAAGTAGTGACGCCAGTGCCGAGTGACATAAACTACTGCGAGAACCTCACGTTCATCGACGGTGAAGTTTATCTCAGCGGGCAGGAGCTGACAGGAATAGAAGACTATCGGACAATCAACTGAGCGAGACTCGACACTGCCATCCTCGGCGACGGTACGATAATAGTCAAGAGAATGCTCGTAAGTAGCTGGACGAGTAGGCGTCAGGCGGGAAGCAGTGGTAGGGGTAGGGGGTGGGAGGTGAGGGATGCGAGGATGAGAGGAATAAGGAGAGGATGGAAAAATCTGAGAAAGCACTGCTGCTACAGCAAAGTCTGACACATCGGTGGTAAGGATAAAAGGGCGATCAAAATCGGGTAGATGGAGAACCGGTGCACATGTCACCACCTTCTTGAGGGAGCGGAAGGGGTACTCGTGGAGGGGTGTCCAAGACCATGGCGGGTTCTTCCGAAGGAGGGTAGAGGTAAGGACGTAGGAATACCTAGCGTATCCCTGGATGAAGTTACTATAGTAACTAGCGAGGCTTAAGAAACTGTGAAGCTGCTTGGCGGATGTGGGGACGAGCCACTCCGCAATAGTAGTCATTTTCTCGTCGTTCATGTGGAAACCCTGGTCAAACACGTAGTGTCTTAAGAAATTCACATTGTGTTGAGCAAAGCGGCACTTGCTCAGCTTGGCGTAGAAGCCATGTCTGCACAAGCGGCCAAGGACGTCGCAAAGGTATCTGAGATGTTCCTCAAGGGTACGACTGTAGATCAGGATATCGTCGAGGTAGACGAGAACGTACTGCTCCAGGATGTCCATGAAGATGTCGTTCATCGCCCTCTAGAAGGTAGTAGGTGCGTTGGTGAGGCCAAATGGCATCACTGTAAACTCATAGTGGTCGAAGCGCGATCGAAACGTTGTCTTCAGCTGGTCCGCTGCAGCAACGCGGATCGGATGGTAACCGCTACGAAGGTCAAGCTTCATAAAGAAGCGGTTGCCTGCTAGGCGGTCGAACAACTCATCGGAACGAGGCATGGGGTAGCTGTTCTTAACCGTCAAGCGGCTGACACCACGATAGTCAATGCAGAGACGGAGAGTTTCATCCGCTTTGCGAGCAAAGAGGGCGGGTGCACCCCACAGGGAGTTGCCGGGTTTAATTAAACACAGTCTAAGGAGCTCCTCAAGCTGACGCTTGAGTTCAGTGGCTTTGGGGATCGATAGTCTGTAGGGTGCCTAGTGGTGAACACGATAGTCAGGCACAAGCTGGATGGAGTGCTCGACATCGCGCATCGGTGAGATGCCAGCATACGAGAACGACGATGGAAAAACGTCGTGGTACTCTCGAATGAGGTCGCGAACTTCGAGTTCCAGGTCGGTCGTATAGCGTGCGAGTTCCTCAGCATCAGCGTCAGTGCGTGACGGAGGGGTGGACTCAATGGACGGTGGAGGGAGGAAAGTAGAGATAAAAGTCATGGAGATAGAAGGAGGATTTGGCTCCAGAGAGATGAGTTCGGCGTCTGGACAGGGTGGATCATAGTGCAATAGATCCGTAACGTTCACCGTATAGAAGGTGACGTCGTCATGTCGGATGAAGTGGGCGAGCTGTCGAGGTGAGGTGACAGTGATAATAGAAGATGGTGTGGGCGCGGGAGGCTCTGGGGGAGGAGGATTGGGGCGTGGTGTCGTAGTGGTACCTATGAAAGGTACTCGATACGTCTGTCCACACTTCGTTCTGAGAACGAGAGTGTTGGTCGTCCAATAAACCTCGGTGCTACGAAACCTATGCGACCACGAAGTACGGAGAATGAAGTCGTACCCCGTCTCCATCACATGGAAACGTGCAGAGGAGTGGTGACGACGAGGCGCCCGGGGACAATCGGTCGGCTCCAGAGTGAGAAAGAAAAGGAGGTCTGTGACAGTCTAATCGAAGAAGCGCTGGGTCTTGTCATCCCGTAGGGTGACGGAGATGGGAGTTGGAAACTCTGTCGTGGATAAGCGGGCTTCTTTCACCACACGTGGGTGAATGAAGTCACCTTGAGAACCGGAATCCCACAGCGCTGAGTACACCTTCGTGGAGGTCCCCAGTCGTACTAGAATAATCAGAGAGGATATTGAGAAGGCGACGCAGTGCAACGACATGAAGGGTGAGTCGCTCCTGACGAGCCTGGACCATGCTCAAGTCCAGAAGGGAGGACACAACGTCCTCGCGAGTCGCAAGTTGCTCGCTGCAACGGGCTGAGCGAATGGCTTGACGCATCGGTAGTCGCAAAAAGGTAGGAGGGGAGATGGTGGTTTGCGGAGGCAAAGGCGGTACTGCGAATGAGGGCTGAGTACACTCTTTCGGGTCCTGCGATACCTCAACTACAGTAGGGAGAGGGGAAAACCGCGACGGAGATGTCGGAAAGCGGACTACAGAGGAGGGTGCAGGTGTACACTGCACCGTGGTTAGGAGGCGTCGCGGGGACGCGAGGCGGCGGAAGGGGACCGAGCGCGACACTGACGAGCGAGCTCAACGTAGTGGCGGTCGAGGGCGGYAGTGTAAGGGCACCGCGAGGAGGTATGACCGCCCTGGCGGCAGCGCAAACACCCACGCCGATCCAAAATGGTCGCGCGCTCCTCAGCGGAAAGGACACGGCGAGGCGGAACAAAGCCTTGAGGGAGGTCCTGCTGAGGGACCTCGGGGGGCGACGCGCCAGTGTGACCAGAGCGGCTGCGTGCCCAGGAAAGGGTGGAAAGGGCGAGCTGAAGGCGCTCGGCTATAGGGAGGGTAGAGTCCTCCAGGTAGTAGTGGACGGCCCCGCAGAGGTCGAGGTCCTCGTCATGGTCACCCTCAGGTGACAGCGGGGCAACAGCGTCCTGCTCACCATACTCGAGCGAGTTGAAGTGGCGTAAGAAGTGACGGCCCTTTTGTGCGGAACGATGAGGACGACCATGGAAAGAGGAACGACGCTCGAAAGTGTCGTGAGACGAGGAGGGAGCGTAATCAGTACGTTGAGGCAGTGAGGAGGAAGTGGGTTGAAGACGATGCGAAGTCATACCGCCATAACTCGTACTCAAGGGGAAGGTTGGCCAAGAAACGATCGATGAGGGCAACCTCGGGGAGGAACGCCACATCACAAATGAGGCAGACGTCCTGAAAGACCTGGATGTGGCGGTCAAGGCCAGCAGCGCTACCAAAGTCGGACCAGCGTGTACTGACAACACGCTCGAAGGCGTCAGTCACATCGTGTCAGGCTCCGAAGCAATCCTCGAGGAACACCTGAAAATCCATGAAGGTCGAGGTTCGACCCTCACGAAGGGAGCGAGTGTAGAAATTCTCATAGGCGTCAAAAGGACCGTCACGCAAGTGTGTTGAGAGGTGAGTCACCACGCAAGCGTGTGAAGAGGTGAGTCACCCACGTGTCTGGTGGGACGCCCATGAGCTAGAGCGTGAGGGTGGCAGACTGCAGCCATTGAGACACGAGTATCCCTGTACCATCATACAAGGCAATATCCATCAAGCGGACGAGTGGTGCACCACCGTTTTGGTGGCGGAGCAGAGGTCTGCGCTATGGTTGAGTAAGTCGGTGCAGGTCCTGGAGGAGGGGGCGCAACTGACTGTACGCCCGGGCCAAATGGGGAAGCGGTGGGGCCAATAACAGCAGGCTGCGAGGGAGCTGCGGTAGAAAAGGTCGCAGCAGCCGAGGGAGTAGGAAGGAGGTAGGATGGGGGTGGAGGGGGTGCAGGGCGAAGGAAGCGAGCCTGTATGGAAGGAAGAGTAGAGGAGGAAGGGGGTGTGCCCGAAGGCGCGGCCACCTGTGATGGTAGGGGTGGTTGCAGGCGTAAGAGTGCGAGGTGGGCCCGGATCTGAGCAAGCTCGGTCTTAAGACGGCGGACATAGATCGAGCGAGGAGTAGGAGGAGGAGGAGTGGGAGAAGTACACGCACGAGCGGCGCAGGGCACCTCATAAGGGGGAGAGCCAGGTAGCGCTGTGGTCGTGCGAAGGGGAGAGATAAGCGGGGCACCTGGAAAAGTTGAGACTACGGCAGCGGGTTGTGATCCCGTGGTCGTAGTGACCTCAATCTGGGCGGGTACGCCCGTAGAGTGAGGGAGGGCCTGGCGCGTTGCGGCCATCGCGCTAGGGGCGTGGACGATCACCAAGATGGTTGGGTCGGGGGCAGCGGAGGAGGAAACTCCACCGTGGCCACCATGTCGGAGAACGGGGGATCCACACTTGGAACCAGGAGAAGAGAGAGAGTTGGGAGAGGAGGGACAGACAACGTCTTGGAGTTGCCGCATACCAGCCGCAAGAGTCGCCACCCGCGCTTGTAGAGGCGCAAGGGTCGCCTGTTGCGCTTGGATGGGCACGAGGAGGGAGGTGAGGAGGGTGTGCAGATCCCCCTGGGGCTGATGACCCTGGTCCGCCGACACGGGTATGGAGCCCGGTGCCGAGGTCATCGCCGCGTCGGCGGCTTGTGATACGCCGTCGGCCTTGGGGAGGTGACGGGCCGGACTGAAGGGGGCCAGAGGAGGTCCGCGTGAACGGAGGGCGCAGGGGGGGCTCTTCGGTAGCAAGCGACGGGCGGCGCTAGTGAGTCGAGCGCAGACGCCTGCAAAGGGGGAAGGGTGATTTGGGTCCAGGGTGCCCCGAATGGAAAGGGGAAGTAGTGGGGTTAGGAGAACCCTAAACCTTAGAAAAACCCTAAAAAACCCTAAGAGAACCCTAACCGGAGTTTGGGTGGTTAGGGTAGGGTACAGGTGACCCAATCAAGAAAAGAAAATAGCAACCATGGAGGGGAGGGGGAAATAAAAACAAATAACAGTGAAATTTCAAGAGAAAAACAAAAATAAATAAATAAATAAATAATATATTAAAAAAAAAAAGTGAGGAAAGATAATATTTATTTATTTATTTATTTTATTTTATTTTTTGGAATTTTCGGCATCACTTCCCCTCCGTCGAGGAGCAGATAAGAAGTAAAAGAGTGAAAAAAAAATTATGGACGGATCAAAATTTTTTGGCAACACTTCGCCTTCGTTGAGGAGCAAGAGTGCATCGCCGAGAAAAAAAGAGAAGAACAATACTATGTACACCAAGATAAGCAAGGAAGAACATTGCATATAAAAGAGAGCAAGCAATCAACTAAGTACACCAATATGGAGCAAGGGGGAAGGACTAAGAAACTACTTCACACAAGAGCAAGGTCTACCTAACTAATGCACAAGAGTCTGTGAAGAGTAGAGGGAAAAGGGATAAAGGAAGAAAGAAACAAAATAGAGAGGTTGAGGGAAAAAAGAAAAGGGGATGGTGGAGAAAGATCAAGAAGCAAAGAGAAAAGAGGATAAAAGAAAGAAAATAAATGAATAAAATAGAATAAAATAGTGGGTGGTGGGAGAGGAGAAGAGGAAGAGGGGAGGGAAAGAAGAGATGGAGAGAGAGAAGAAAATGAGAAAAGAAGTAAGGTAGAGAAAGGGAAGAAAGGAAAGTGGTAAAGTATGTGGGGGACCGGAGTTGGGAGAGGAAGAGTGGTGGAAAAAAAGGTGGGGGAAAGAAGAAAAAGAAGGAGAAATAGACAATGGAAGGTGGGAGGGGAAGGGAGAAGGGGTCAAGGAGTGAAATGAGAGGGAGAGAAGGAGAAGGTTGAGAAAGGTGGGGAGAGGGTATGATTAGTGAGAGTGATTATAGGGAAGTGAGTGAGATGAGAGAGAAGAGGTAGCGAAAGTGGATTAGTAGAGAGAGGGGAAAGGGAGGTGATACCTAGCCCTTGGTGTCTCCAAGGGCACAAGGTATACCAAGACCAGGAGGGTCTTGGCCTTCGTTGCAGCAAGCCAGCTGGAGGAGAGAGGGGACTGAGATCTTGATCAGCCCTGGCAGCAGTACTGCAGATCCAGGGTGTGTTGTGTGAGCAAACCCTCACCACTGTAGAGCAGCCCCCGAATCAGGGGGGCTTCAAGCCACGAAGAGGACTGGCCACCTGGCCAGCACGCCGGTATCACCGCCCCTATGCCCACCACGTCACAACCGTCGGGGTTGCTAACTCGTCCTACCCCCTGCTCGACCCGACCTTCGAACCCGTCAAACGTGGCTGGCGGGAGGGGTGGAATCGCCGCCCCAAGCCTCGACTACTTCCTTCAAACCTCCGAAGCCCGAAAACCGCCCCCGAAACTGATCCTACCCCCGTCGACACTTGGACATCGACACCATCGCATTGGCGGGGGGGGCGCATGCGCCACTTGGCGCAGTGGTTATCACAATGCCCCTTACCGTCTTTCCCCACCGCTTGGCCGAGTTCAAACCCCGCCCGCTGCAAAAAGCGAGATTCCCTTCACGCAAATTTTCCGTTGCCAAAATCCCCCAGTCGCCGCCAGTGGGACCAGCATGGATCTTGTAAAAAAAAAAAAAAAAACAGGGCTTCGGCCCTTTTCGCCACGCAGACAAACAAAATCGTCTGCGCAATAATGACAGTCGGTCGCCTTTGCACCTGCCAGATGCTCCGCAGCGCTCGTAATGATGGCGGATGGATCTTTTAGAGTATTTTCTTGAACGGGAAAGTATAGCGCCGTCCGCTATCGGACAGCGGGATCACGAGGGTGGGTGGGTGGGATCAAGGATCGATCTCGCTCCGATACAAAATGTGGCGGAACCACCAGGTGTGGTGCTCCGCCTGAGATAGAGATGGAGATGGAGGATGAGAGTGGAGCAAGATGACACAGCGCAACTCCCACGCCAGACTCCAACGCACGTACTCCAAACTGTGCGAATGCAGAATGATCCGAAATATAGACTCTGGCTGGGGTATACCCCAGCGGACTGACTGAACTGCAATGGACTGGCTGGTACCGACAGAGGTACCGGCCTGGAATGGACTACCCCGAATACAACACAGGCCTGTGAGAATAGGCCAAGGGGCTGGTCTCACAGGCCAACCAGAGGTCCGCTACATATTCTGAGCAGAGGTCTTTAGCCTCAACCCTAACAACATCTTAGCTCTTCCATCTGATCAAATGTATTACCTCAAACACACCCTCCGTACGTCAAACGGCTCCCCCCCGCCCTTTGTACGTGTAACTATACGATGCACGAAACCCAATTTCCGGACAAGTTCGACCACAAAGCGTTCACACTTCCAAAAGAGGCCCACATGGCATCATCCCAGAAAAAATGATCTCGTCTCCGCTTCCCAAGCTGGCGTACGCTGAGAGAAGGTTAACAACAGTCGTATTTTTCATCACCACTTCAAGACACCCTTCACCACTTCAGGATGCAGCCTACCTAGACAGGTGGTTTTCAGGGTCTTCGGACCTTTCACCACTCCAAGAGCATTCAAGATTTTCAGACTCCCCGTTTTCAGGGTCTTCGGACCTTTCACCACTTCAAGACCATTCAGGATTTTCAGACTGCCCAAAACTCTCACTTCACTTCAGAATGCAGCCTGCCTAAATAGGTGGTTTTCAAGGTCTTCGGACCTTTCACCACTTCAGGACCATTCAGGATTTTCATCCTGCCCAAAACTCTCTCTTCACCACTTCAGGATGGAGCTTGCCTAAACAGGTGGTTTGCAGGATCTTCGGACCTTTCACCACTTCAGGACCATTTGGGATTTTCAGACTGCCCAAAACTCTCACTTCAGAATTTTCATTCCTGAATTTTCAGCTACCCGTTAACCGCTTGTGCGTACGCCATATCCTCCCAGTTGTCAGAAAGGAGAGCTGACAGCTAACGCCCCGCCCGCCGGCATATGGCAGATTATAAGTCAATCCAGCGGCCTAGCTCAATCGGTAAGGCTCGCAAGTGGCATTCAGGAGGTCATGGGTTCAATCCCCATTGGCCTCATGCCTTCCTGGGCTTACTTGGCACCCGCTACCCAAGAGATAGACCACTGGATCCCCCGATCGGCATCAAGCTGAGTTTGCCATGTTCGTAGGGGAGGGGCCTGAGGGCAGGCACGGGGGATTGGTCAGCTTTATCCCTGGTGCTACCGGCCGTCCCCTGGGCGGTATCTTGCAGGCTCGAGGGGCCGTAAAAACACGGCTCTGGTATGCTACGGGTTTCCCCGTATGCCTATAGGTAGGAGTAGTGGTAGGTAGGTAGTGTGAGGAAAAATTGAGAGGAGTATAGTTTCAAAAAAAAAAAAGAAAAAAAGATTATAAGTCAACAGTTTCTTTTCTAACGCCCCGCCCCCCGCAGATGGCGGATGATCCCCGTACGACTATATATATATATAATTTTTTTATTTTTTTTTTTGAAGACTATAATTAGGAGTAGTGGTAGGTAGGTAGTTTGAGGTGAAATTGATAGAAGAATGTAGCTTACTTCGGGAGAGAAAAAAAGACAACATTTTCTTTTCAATATCAGCGTTTCTGAAAATGAATTGCGGATTTTCGACGTGCCGCACGAGTGTCGCGAGGATGCCCCACACCTGACACACTAATCCAAATACATGGCTAGTGCAACCTCTGAGAGCTAGGCTATACAGGGGACCCCTGCAAGCATAGCTATCTACCTCTCGCCTGTTTATGAAGGTTACCCTGTTCTTTGCTTTTCATTTTGTTTCCATTTCTTTGACGCCAGAGTTGTCCACGTTGTCCCTGTTCTTTGTTTTTCATTTTGTTTCCATTTCTTTGACCCCAGAGTTGTCCACGTTGCCATCGCGCGAGCAGAACGGATACGCAATGTGGAATTGGATGTCCATTGCAAACCTGCAAGAGACGCGTGGTGTGCAGGTACGTGTCCGCGTGTGTGTGTGTTCGTGAGAGAGGCGGACATCCGAGTAACGAAAATGACATCTCGTTCAGCTTCTCTCGTTTCGGGGAGAGAGAGAGAGAGAGAGAGAGAGAGAGAGAGAGAGAGAGAGAGAGCTCTCTCGAACGAGAACAGCAAGGGATCGCCGTCCAGAAGATAGAGAAGTGAAGAAGGTAGGAGGACGAGGAAGGGGAGGAGAAGAACCTGAGCTTGCTGCTTACTTTGAATATGCTGGAGCATTTTGATTCGATGCGGTGATGTTGTAGGGCCAGCGCGCGGTTCCAGCTCCTTCGGTCTCGTTTACCGCCACCTCCCCGTCTCCCGTTCCCTCTTGAGAGATGGGTAGTGCTACAAGATACCAGTCATAGCAACCCATGTCAGCTCTCAGAGTGATTTCTATTTCTGTCAATGTTTGCCATGTCCTAGCTTGAGAGGTTGAAGCTGGGAGGTCGTCCACCCCTGCAGCAATTCCGTCGTTGTAATCATTAAACCCATCCAAGTAATCATACTCGAGTTTCAGCTGTTGATTTCTATGTCTTCCTTCGCCCATCCTCATCCCCGGCGCGGCGCTTGATCTTGATGATGTCATCCTTTGGCGGTCGTGGATGGGCGGCGGGTTGACGTATCTTCTATCCTCCTCCCCATCCTCCTCCTCCTCCCTCGTCTCCTTCTCCAGCGTCTTGATGGCAACGTCTGGCGTTGACACGTGGAACGGTCGACTTCTGTCGGAATGATTTGGGGTAAAAGAGCGCTCTGGCGGCTTTGGAGTGTCGTCGTTTCCCGCGGGCAGTTGCCCGCTATTTTTCAAGTTGTCCGCCGGGAGATTCCCGCTAGTAGCAGCATGATTTCGGGGCAGGTTGTCGCTGCTTCGGTGGGAATGATGACGATGGCTTGGCCGTCCCAGGTCCTCGCTACTTCGGCGGGAATGGTTTCCCGATAACTTCCCGCCATTTTTCGAGTCGTTTCCGGCGAAGCTCCCGCTATTTTCCGAGTCTCCCTCCACGTTCCAGCCCCCCTTTTTCTCCCAATCCTCTCCCATCGAGTTCGTGCCAAACTGTTGCCATCTGTTTCCCGCCAAATTCACTCTGCCATTTTCCAAACCCTCAAGGGCGAAAAGGGAACGAAATGCCCTCGGCCCAATTCCTGTTCTCCCACCACCATTGGCATTGGCCGTGAAATTCCCGCCGAGAGCTTGCATATCATTTCCCTGACGACGACGACGGGGACGACGACGACGATGGAGATTGAGGTAACGAGGTGAGCGCTGTCCGTCATATCCGAGAGCTTGTGTCTCGTTCCCAATTTTAATACGGTGGAATCTAGGGCGGAGATTGCCCGAGGGCGAAGTGCCTGGCTGAATGTTCAGCCTGCTCCGACCGGGGTATTCGGGATACCTCTCGTCTGTGAGAGTGAGTTGAACTTTGTACGTTCCTGGCAAATTGCACGCAATCGCTACCCTCTTCATTTGGATTGTGGTCGTCGCCGCCGTTGATCCGAGAGCCTCCGCCCCACTACCGATAATTTCCCCGGTCTGATCTGTCCATCCATCCATCAGATTGGATGGTGCAGGAGAAGTGGTGGTGGCCGCCATAGCCGTGACATCGCTGAGGGCAAGCAGAGGTTGGTTCTGCAACTGCACGACCTCTGCCTCTTTCTGGAACCGAGGGGGCTCTGCCCATACCACGCACTCGGAAGGTAGACTCCATTGCATCTGAGCGTTAAGATCTACGCCAGGGTGATCTGTACGGTTCCAGAAGACTGCCAGCTGGATTGGACGGGCGAGATTGAATCTCGAAGAATCATAACCAATGCTGCGGTAGCGAACAGCCAGCTGGCAGGCGGCCGTATCGATAGCAGCTGTGGAAGCAGGACCAGAGGAGGATAGATCCTCTACAACAACTTGCACGGACCGCTGCTGCGTCCGTGGTCGCCGGCTTGATTGTCCTTGTACACGTGTTTGTACCACGCTGTTGTGCCCGCTTGATTCAATCTGGACATGTGTCTGTCTCTCATTTTCTCGCCCGATTGATTGTCCCTGTACACGTGTCTGTACCCTGCTGTTTTGCCCGCTTGATTTCTTCAGGACACGTGTCTCTCTCTCATTTTCCCGTCCAATCTCATGGTAATTGGACTCGCCATGACCATCATCATTATCATCATCATCATCCTGCTGATGGGCAAAATTGCCTCGATCGAGGTCGAGGGTCAATCCCATTTGTGCGCTGGCGGCAGCGTGAGTGGTCGGTACACGCGTCGCGCTTCGTGCATGCTCGGTGTTCCCAATTATTTGACTTTCATTTTCATTTTCCTGATCAAAATTCACCTGTTCTGGCTTTGATTCGGCCGTCGTCAGAGACGTATTGGATATCAAAGCAGTGGAAAGAAGCGAGGCGGGGACAATCTCAACTGTTCCTTCTCCTGCTGCGGTTACTTCTTTGCTTTCGCTTTCTTTCTCTGTCCCAGTGGTTCCGTCTTTTCCCCCATTGGTTCCTTCTGATGTCCCATTGTTTCTGTTTAAATTCCTCCCCTCGATTTGTTCGCCCATCGCTTTCAGAATTTCCATCTTGGATTCTGTCATTGTGCTGCCTTCAGTGCGGTGGGGGAGGGGAGGAGGTTCCACTGCGCTTGCTGCCATTACACCACTCCCTGTTGCTCTCGTTCCTTTCCATCGGCCAAGTTTACCCATGATTGGTTTGCAATTCCTATCAAATAAAGTACTGCGCGGTTTCAAGCCGTCGACGTTGCAGCGGATGCCTGCACAACCGACGCAACCCACGGACGAAGCAATCAGAGCAACCGTAACCATCGCCCAAGTGATGATACAACGGGGAGCCATCATCCCTCCTGTCCAGCTCAGCACCTCCACCATCGTTAACAAGATCACCAGATCGTCGGATGATATCGGGTCACGATATCCGAGCTCCCTTCTCCCCCCTCTCCCTCTCCCTCTCCCTCCCTCTTCTCCCACTACTCTCTTCTCTCCCAACTTTCAGAGTACGCCACCTTGTTCTAATCTCTACGAACGTCCATGCATCAGTGAGGGGTAAGACTACGCAACAGTGAAAATCTGTACAATCAGGCATCCATCCAACAGTGGATTACTTGCCTAGTGAATAGTTGTGCTCATCTGATTCATGGATTTGAACTCCTGCGCTCTTTGCTAGCAGATATACATGTTCGCAGCCCGTCAGGAGCGCGTTTTCGCCCCCTGAGACATTTCCCCCCGCCACATTTTCGTCATCCTTGGTTATACCCGTCCTTGATTTGGGCTTGTTTGGTCTTTCGAAGGTTCGAAAAATGCGGGAAGGTGCAGGCACGTCACTTTGGGGGGCGGTGGCAGTTTCTTTGAAAACTGTGGGACTGGCAGCTGCCCGTGGGACCGCGCACTGGGTTTTGGTCAAACCGGTGGCAAAGCAGCGGCAGGGTGGATCTTTGGGGGGGGGTGGCAGTGTCTTTGAAAAATGTGGGACCGGTAGCTGCCCGTGGGACCACGCCCTGGGTTTTGGTCGAAACGGTGACAAAGCAGCGGCAGGGTGGAAAACTGAAAAAGTCTGAATGGCAAAGGGTGCCACCTTAGCCGCAGGTTGAAAGGACACACCTTGCAAATGTGCAACCAGATGTGTCTGAACTTGGACGTATTCAACACCCCACACGTTCAGCGCCCAATTGAGTGAGTCACATGTGACAAAACAAGAGTCACATGTGACAAAACAAGAGTCACATGTGACAAAACAACTTTTATTTAAACCACCAGTACCTCCAAGCCTGTTTTTGCCGCACGCCGTTCTTTTCCGAGGCTGTGTCCTGCAGAACCTCGGAGGTCGTTTTTTTTTTTTTTTTTTTTGGAAACAGTAACATTTCCACTTGTGGCCTCGAGTGGACCGGTACGGTCCACCCGACGGACTGAAGTTTGGGCGGGGTCCCTGTGGTTGGTGGTATGTTCTGTGGACTGTGTTTTTTTTTGTTATTATTATATATATTTTTGTAGATATTTTTTTGCCAAGCGACTGGCGGCGCCGACCGGTATCGTGGAATGCGTGGCGGTCGTCCGCGCGGTGACCGACGGACGGGCAACAACGTTTGCCATCGCCGCCGATGCATCCCGACCTCCGACTCCGTGTGTGTGTGTGTGTGTGTGTGTGTGTATGTGTTATCCATGCCAGAGATTCCCCCAATGGATGTAGCGGGTGACATGATGTCATCCCGCCAATTGGATGTGCATACAGCATGGCACAAGTCTCTCTCTCTCTCTCTCTCTACAGATGGCCGTTCATAGTTACGTCGTCATCGTTTATATAAGTGTGTTGTCGCTGTCATGGATGTCATCTTCTACATTGAGTGACATCCATCGCGGCGACAGTCGGTCAGTCTCTCTCTCTCTCTCTCTCTCTCTCTCCCTCTCTCTCTCTCTCTCTCTCTCTCTCTCTCTCTCTCAATGACACGGTGACGGTCAGTCTGTCACTTCTGCGGACGTGGCCGTTCCTGGGAACATGGCCCGTCTTTTCGATATGTTTTCTTTTGACCTTTTCGTTGTTGTTTTTTCGTTTGTCCCATTTCTGATTTTTCTTACCCTGTCATGCTTCTCAAGTCTGCGGCCGTGGCCGTTCGTGGAAACGGAACCTGTCATTGTCTGCCTTTTTTTTCCCTTTCTCGTTGTCGTTTTTCGTTTTTCCTATTTGTTTTTTTTTTTTTCCCTCCGGCTTCTTAGTTCTGCGGACATGGCCGTTCGTGGAAACGTCGCGTGTCAATGTCTGTCTTTTTTGCTCCTTTTTTCGTTCTCGTTTTCTTTTTCCCCACTTTTATTTTATCCTTTGCCCGTTCGGATTCTTACTTTTACTGACTTCGCCGTTCGTGGAAACGGCACCTGTCATCTTTCCCAATTTTTTTTTCCGATTTCTTTTCGTTTCTCGTTTCTTCTTTCTTGCGGCAGGCTCTCAGTCCGAATCTCTCTCTCTCTCTCTCTCTCTCTCTCTCTCTCTCTCTCTCTCTCTCTCTCTCTCTCTCTCTCTCTCTACATCAACATATCTATCTATCTATCTATCTATCTACCCATATATATATGCATATATATATATATATAGAGAGAGAGAGATTGACTTTGATCTCGCCTCCGGGCTTTTGCGGTGTACACGCTACGGAGAGAGAGAGAGAGAGAGAGAGAGAGAGAGAGAGAGAGAGAGAGAGAGAGAGAGAGAGAGATGGAGGATACTGGCAGCGGTCGTCGCGAAGAAGGGGAGAGGGGGAGCTCGTCGGCGGAACCTCGTCGAAGAGGCGTCCCCGAGTGCCAAGTCGGCACTGTCGACGAGTACAATTGTGTTCCCATCTTATCGAGATGGGAACACTAGGTACAGACGAGATTGGAGAGAAAGGAACGTGCGAAGGAGGAAAGGAGGAAGGAGTTGGAACAGGAGGCGGACCATGTGTTGGAGTTGGAGAGCAGCGACACACAACGACTAGAAGTGGAGGCGCACAAAGAGAGAGAGGAGGTGCGAGGGTTGTCGACACAAGAGGTGGAGAAGAAGGATTGGGAGGCTATGGAGCTGGCGCGCATCCTCAAAAAGAGGAGGTCGAAGACACCAGACTGAACACAAAGAGAGAGAGAGAGAGAGAGAGAGAGAGAGAGAGAGAGAGAGAGAGAGAGAGAGATTTTGTTATTCTTCTTCACCTTTTCTTCTTTTTTTTCTTCTTCTTCACCTTCGTCTTCGTCTTCTCTTCTTCTTCAAGATTCTGTAAAAACGTAAAAGTTTTATTTTTTTCGTTTTTGTAATGTTGTAACTACTTTATATTCGTTGCTTGGTTGCATAAAATAATAAGTGAAACGGTTTTCACCTTTGCAGTAGCAGATGCAGATATCAGGCGTCGATCTCTAGACCTCACTCACCTGTGTATAGTACCCCGTGAGTTTGATCCCGTGACCTGCGCTGTAGGTGTCAATACTGCGGAAGCCATGAGGAAGCGCCTGCTTGGGCGACTTGTGCGAGGCGGTCTGCAGAGTGCCCGAAGACGAAGTGGGATGAAGGAGATAGCGTAGGCATAGCTGAGGTTAGGGACGGCGGGAATAGCCGCCATAGCCTGTTCATACGAAGTTGCATCTGGAATGCCTTATTGACTTCCATACCTCTGACCTTTTAGTGGGCGCCTATGTGCCAGACTGTTGTATGCATGCGAGTTTAAGAATGAAGCGAGTCCGATTGTAGAAGATAACAGACCGCGCCGTCGGATTGATTTTTTTTTTTTTTTTTTTTTTTTTTTTTGGGCTATGACCGACATGGCGTGGTCAGCATGTACCCTGTTGCTCGTGCGATGAGAGAGATGGCAGCCACACACACACACACACACACATACTCTCTCTCTCTCTCTCTCTCTCTCTCTCTCTCTTCAATCAAAAATAAAAAATTCAAATAATGATTCAATCAATCAATCAATCAATCAATCAATCAATCAATCAATTATTTCATCCAATCAATAATGTGTGTGTGTGTCCCCAAGAACCAATCAACCAATCACACACACACACACACACATCAATCAATCGATCAATCAAACTTCTCTCTCTCTCTTTGATTGATTGATTGATTGATTGATCGAAGTGTGTGTGTGTGTACGTGTGTGTGTGTGTGTGTGTGTGTGTGTGTGTGTGTGTGTGTGTGTGTGTGTGTGTCATAGCCTGTTCATACGAAGTTGCATCTGAAATGTGTTTCCGAGTCTCATATCTCTGAGTTTAGAGTGGGCGCCTATGCGCCAGACGATTGTATGCATGCGAGTTGAAGAATGAAGCGAGTCTGATTGCATAACATAACAGACGGCGCCGTCGAATTTAATTTGTTTTTTTTTTTTTTTGTGTTATTTTTTATGTTTTGAATTTTTGTGTTTTTGCTATGGCCGACATTGCTTGGTCAGCATGTGCCCTGTTATTCGTGCGATGACAAAGATGGCAGCCACACACACACACATACACGCACTCTCTCTTTCTCTCTTCAATCAAAATTAAAAAATATAATAATAAATCGATCAATCAATCAATCAATCAATCAATCAATCAATCATTCAAACAAACAAAAAATCAATCAATCAATCAATCAATCCAATCAATAGTGTGTGTGTGTGTCCTCAAGAACCAATCAAATACACACACACACACACATCAATCAATCAATCAATCTTGACATCTCTCTTTGATTGGTTGATTGATTGATTGATTGATTGATTGGTTGATTGATCGATTGGTTATTTGATTGATTGATTCATTGATTGAACACAGAGAGAGAGAGAGAGAGAGAGAGAGAGAGAGAGAGAGAGAGAGAGAGAGACTCCCTCTGTTCAATTAATCAATCAATCAATCTCTCTCTCTCTCACGCGCACACACACAATGACTCTCTCTCTCTCTCTCTCTCTCTCTCTCTCTCTGTTCGTTTTATTAATCAATCAATCATTCACACACACACATACACACATAGTATATATGATGATTGATTGATTGATTGATTGATTGATTGATTGATTATTTGATGTCCTCTCTCTCTCTCTCTCCCCCCCCCCCCCTCTCTCTCTCTCTCTCTCTCTCTCTCAATCAATTAATCAATCAATCAATCAATCAATGGTCGCACTATCAATCAATCCAACCAACCAATCAGTCAGTCGATCAATCCATACTGCTATCATTCAACCAATCAACCACTGATTCAATCAGTCAATCGGGCAGTCACTCAATCAGTCAAGTAATTAGTCACTCTTTCAATCAATCAATCGCTCAGTATGTCAATCACTCAGCCACCCGGTTAGTCATGAAGTCAGTCAATCATTCTGTGGGTCTGTCTGTAAGTCACACTGTGACTGAGTGACAAAATTAAGAACAGAGTGTCTGCCAACGACCTGACAGACTGACTGACAGTCAGGCAGTGTGTGAGCCGGTCAGTGAGTCACACAATCTGTCGTGACGCCACTCAATCAATCAGTCACTCAGACTGTAAGTCACTCATGGACTG